TAAAATATTACTATATAAACTATTGGGGAAAAAAGTAAATAATTTGGTGTATTATAAGAAATATTTATAAACCTATATACACATCGATACTGGAATTTAAATGATGAAAAATAAAAATAATGTCTCAAGATAATCAAAGCCATTATCAATGGAACTAAGATGAATGTGAAATTTAAAAGTTTTAAGCATTGAATAATACATTCAATTTCAATACATTCTAGTTGTAATACATTTTCCAGTGTAGCAAATTTTAAAATGTAAAAATTAAATTATCATGAGTCTTTTGGAGCCAAAGTGGTGTGACTCCACTTTTTAAAAATCAATGTCAATGTTAAAAATAAATTCAGCAAATTCAAAACTGGAATAGAAGTAGGAAACAATTAGTTTTACAAAAAGCTGCACAGATTATTCAATACACAACGCTATCTATCTGTTCATAGCCAAACATCTAATAAAAATCATTTCCGCATTCCTACAATGTCTTGCAAAGATTTTTTAAATACAGAAAATATGAAGAAAGCTTGATGAAGTAAACCATTCAATTTTATTACTAAATATACAATGGATTCTATACCAGAATTAAACTTCTTTTACAAGAATGCATATATGAACAACTTATATTTTTCAAGCTGGACATCTAATTAGCAGATAAATGATTACACCAGTACCACTGACAAATTTACCTTTGTCTCAACTCTACAATGGACCAAGACTTGTGATAGGGAGAAAAAAAAGATATGCAAGACCTCTTGGCCTATATTTTCTGATATCAACCATGCATACTATCTGAACCCAAACACTTCTGTCCCTGTTGAAGACAATGGACCACTAGTATTTAAGATGATATTAAAGATGCTGTTTACCATATACTTTTGAAGGTGATATAAAAGTAGATGACACGGATTTATAAAATAAATTAATATTAATTCTGTAATTATGCTAGTTTCTTTCTTGAACCATAACCTCAGTACATGTAAAGCCAAAGATGTTCATGTCACTTAGGTGCTTACAATTTACTTATGAATTGGGAGTAGGCCCAAATTAACATACATGAGCTAAAATAAACAATTTTAAATACCTGAGGAGTGGTCGTGGGAATTTTAGTTTAGTAATAATTAGAATTTTCTATAATTATTCAACTGAAAATTTTCCCAAAACCGTTTTTAATTTATTTACTCCACTTAAGCTTTAAATGGCTCATTATTAAAAATTTATGTTAAAATAATATGCCCTAAATGTGGTCTACTCTAACATGCTTTCGAAAATACATCAATTTTATAGTACTAATTAGGCTGAAAACGCAATAGATAACACTTAGAACTATTTATTTTGGTAGCAAGGAATTAATGAAATAAAAATATGTGCAATTTTAAGTTATGTAGCAAAAAATTATTAGGAAATACCAAGCTGGTTCCTAATATCCCCTTGCCCCTGTTCATATTACTAGAAAATATTACCACCTACTAGAAAATATTGGGAGCAATAGTTTTATAATATTGCTGGTAGAGACATTTTGAGTTAGATTGAATGTTTGAGGTACAGAGGAGGAAGGAAGAAGGGAGAAGAGAGAAGACAAAAAACTCAAATCAAAATCAAAACAATTAAAAATTCATTGGATAAAAAATTAAACAAAAATAATACAAACAGATAGAACATATACATTGTAGGCGGGGTGGCCACACAGGATAACGAGAGTGCACAGTACCGTCGTTGACCGACAACCTGATATATAAGATAAATTGATATAAATAGTCATAAGTTCACATAGAGGTGAGGAAAGGGAGGACCCAAAAAAAAAAAAAAAAAAGATAGAACATGCACATGTTCTGCATTTTCCACAAGTTGCGTCGCAATATTTGTGATTTTAGTTAGAACAGGAAGTATACTTGTCTCGTCCCAAACCACTTAAATCATCTAAGATACTGGCCCCTGACTAGTATTCATAGATTCATGTTATTTTGTTCTATTTTATCATAACTGTTCTCTGGAAGAGTATAATCTAAAATCTAACTGCTATAGAAGATTAATACTTTTCGCTTATTACATTTTTTAAAATTATATACTGATGTTGTAGGGCAGTTTCCTCTTTTGTGTTGTCTCAATAATTGTTTAGATAGGTCTGTTTCCGAATTAATGGTCTTATATTTATAATTTGTTTATTGAACAAACCACTAATTAAATCAATAAATCATTGAACTAACAGTTAATGAATAAATATTTATAAAAATAGTATTGATTAAAGAGTATTAACTTCAGATGGTGACATATTAACTACAATAATATTGCATGGCTGCTCAACTGTGTTGAGTTGCTAAATCACACAACATATTTATCAGTCAACATATATTATTTAAAACCAAAACAACAGATAGGTGGGACCAATTTAATGTATAGAAAATATGTTGAAAACAGTGTACAGAATTATATATGTGAAGGCAAAGAATCAATATATATGGTGATGGAGGATTCCCAACAAGTCTACAATAACAGTCTCTGCCATTGTCTTCTCCATCTGCTCCCTTCCAACACCGAGCTTCCGCAATATACTGAGAGACTATCTGCATTTGTTTTGGAACACTCAGAAACAAATAAAATAAAAATGTCAAATGAAATAAATATTAACCTACCTCAAGCCAAACTAATATCAGACGCTGTATTTAGACAGCGAAGCTGTTGAAATACATTTTGCAATGCACAATATTCCGCCGCATTCCTCTAAAACACATAAGACATATAATCATTGATGTAACTATCGACTGTATATTCCTTACATTTAAATGAGTATCATATAGTCTAGTTTGTAGGCCTTCCTTCGAAACAGACACAAACAGCCAAATTTTTGTCATCGAGAAATAAGTGTATCCTGAACGAACTCTTAAAAAATTCTATTAAGTTTTATTTTTTAATACAAATATATAGTTACATTTAAATATGCTTAGATCTTGATTTTTTTTTCAATTAATTGGGTAAATGACTAGTTATGGACACCCTTAAGCCTATTTTTTTTTTTTTTTTTTTGTTATCAACATCTAACACTTTATCGATTCTTTTTTAAATGATGTGATGGTACATTTTTGTTACTCCTCATGTAAAAAATAAGTATATCTCCTTATCCAACCAAAATATGACTTTGTTATATTTTTTACACATTTTTTAATTTAAGATTGTTCTGCTTGATGAGTTATGTACATTTTGAAAACTAGTTATGAACATCCCTTTTCTTACCTTTATGTCCATTCAAAAACACAAAGTTTTATGAAAAAATAAAAAACTACTTCCACTAAATTTATCACAAATAGATTTTATTTTGTTTGTCTAATTTTGTAAAGATTTTTTAAACTAAATTTATCAAATAAATAAAATTAATTTATTTTAAAAAGTTATTAAAATTAAACTCTATTTTAGGAAAGTTTTAGGTGTTATGCCGTTTTTAACCAGCTACTTTATTATGTATAGTACTTTCAATCTTTCCCTTTTTTGTTTTTTTAATTCCTTCTTCTCTCCGTTCTACTTGATTGTCATAAAATGTTTGCTATCCAGCATAGACATATCTTTCTCGCTCACAGATGCACTAGGTGCCATTACATATTCAAAAGTGTGCTGAGAAAATAGAAAATGTGTCTTGAGAAACTCGTGGTGCCATCCTTCTCCCGGCATATTAATTTAGAATTTGGTCACTCTATTTTTTTGTACTATTATCTCTTTAACACTCGACAGTAAGTCAATCTTACGCCTAAAAAAATCTTTTTCTCGCACATTCCAGGATCCATTTTACTAGCATTTCCTCTTCTTCTTGTGTAAAGACTGTATTAGTTCAACATTTCATTCTTCCTGTCCCTCTTAATCTCTTAATTAGTGTTGCTCGAGGAATCTGACACTTGAGTGCATGATTTCAATTATGTCTTTGATGTCCTCTATTGCTAGAGCGACTTGCTCTTCATCGTAAGTATTTGAGTTAACTGGTATGATTTATAGAATAAATAATAAATTAAAAGGCAATTCATCATTTTTTTATTATTTGTCAGTTTTAATATCATAAATCAAAATAAATATGTAGTTTTCATTGTTTCTTTCCCAAGTTTTATTCTTTTTCTTTCAATTTGCCTATAAATACATTTTAAATTCTAAATGTATTTTGTGTATAAATAGAACTGAAAATCTAATTAATATATTTATTTTGATAAATGTATTTGTTTTCATTTTTAAATAAGAACAAATATTCTCCTTCTGAGGGGACTCTTTTTTAAATTTATTACTCAAGTTATTTCGATCACAATTTATTGAATAATCAGTATATTAGTTAAATACAAATAGCAAAAAAAAAATACAATAATAAGGAGAAGTGCAGTATTAATTAGGAACAAATACTGAAGATGTCTAAACCAACTTCTTTTCAATTTATTCCATAATTCTATCAATTTAAACCATACTACATCAGAATTGACTTTGATTTATAGTTACTTAATTCTCTGCATGGAAAAATAAAAATTCTATCCCCATAGTCCAATGCTTCTCTAAATAATATTAGTAGAATTAAAAATTGTATTTCATTTTCAAATTTTCTTGTCAATTGTATTCTTAATATAGTTACCTTTCTTTTTAATTTGGTATTGAGAATAAAAAAAGATATAGAGAGAAAAAAACAAAACATGTTTATTATGTAATTTTCTACAGTGAAGATAACATTTAAAATATTAGAAATTAAATACTAAATATTTTTAAAATTGTACTGAACTGACCGTTTTTCATACTTCATTGTTGCCTACAACAGCCACCAAGCGCTAGTGTTCAATTACATTCTGATTACTTGGTTGTTCAGTTTAAAATAATTACATATCTGTTATCATTATCATAATACTTAGGCTCAAAAACCATTTTAGGTTTTTCTTTTATATGAATATCTTTTTGAGTTCAACTATTTAGTACATTGTTATAATCAGAGCAACTTGAGTTTAAATTGGGATATTACTGTGGCTTTGACAATGGCTTATCCTTAACCCCTACAATGTTATACAACAATTCTGTGTACTACCGGGTGTGATATTTAAAAACTAGTTTTATTTTATCGTTAGTTTAACATTTTAACTAAGATTTCAATTGTGATGGAGTCATCTCCGTCATTGGAAACAGTCCATCAGGCTGTTTACGCTCTTTATCATAATCCAGATCCTGCTGAAAAAGAGAAGGCTTCATTATGGCTAGGCCAGTTACAAAAATCTGTAAGTAGTAATTATGTTTCAACGATATTTTTATTATTTTACAAATTGCAATCCTTCCTTATATTTATTTTTCTGTCAATCAGTTATCATTAATGTGTGCTTAATTAATGGCATCATTATCACAGTACTTAAAGAATGCTTTGTTGACATTATTTGATTTCATCTTAATATAAACTTTGTAAGCTTACTTTAGTAATTGTTTGAATTGAATTTCTTTGTTAATTTTTTAGGTTTTCTCGTGGAAAATCGCTGATGAAATACTACATACCAGTACAGATGTTGAATGCTGTTATTTTGCAGCTCAAACTATGAGAACTAAAATCCAACATTCTTTCCATGAACTTCCTCCAGGATCTCACCTTCCATTAAGAGATTCTTTAATGGATCACATCAGCAAAATTAATGAGACAACAAATTCTGTGATTGGTACTCAGGTAAATGTTTTCAACATCTTATTGTAAACAATGGTTGTTTTCTTGTTGAAGTGAAGTTTTCTGTGGGATTGCATATTGGTCATCATTATTGTTTAGTTACACATTGGTCACCGTAAAGTGTTGTACTAAAGTTTTCTGTCTTTTTAGCTGTACCTTGCTTTGGCAGATCTAGCATTACAAATGGGATCTTGGGAAAAACCTGCAATTGATTTGATTGAACGATATTCCATGACTTCAGTTCCTCCCCTTCTTGAAATGTTAACATTTTTGCCAGAAGAAGTTAATTCCAGAGCTTTGCGTTTGGGTTCTAACCGAAGGCAAGAACTTCTCCACAAGTTTTCACTTGCTGTTCCTAATGTCTCCGAGTTCCTGGTAAGTTTTAGAATTTGTATTATTTATTTTTTAATTTAAAATTCAAAATAGTATTAGTGAATCATTTAAACTCTCTTTTTGGCTCTTGACTAACCTTACAAACATACTAACAATGACGGTTATCTGTTGTTTATATTCATTTTTTGTTTTGCCAAGAGTTGGTATCATTATTTTTTATCAGTTGTTAACAATGTTGCACTGTTTTATTATCAACTGAAACATGTTGAAGATGATAATAGTCCTTTAGTCGGGCAGAACTGAGATTGTTGAATTCATCACAAATTTATGAACAGTAATGAGCTTACTACAATGTTTCAATTTTACTCCTCAGTTAAATGAAGAAGCCAATATGTTATAGATAAGGATGTTTATTACAACAAAGAAATCATTGAAACCTTTTTCATGGTTACAACATTAAATATTTACTCTTGTTTTAAAAGTTTAAAGTTAAGTAACGATTGTGTTACTCCATTATTTCTTCTGGTTATTCGTGCAATTTAAGTTTAAAACATGTCTAAATTTTAAAACATCACAAAATATGACACGCTCATTAAAATAATTTAATTTTTTTTCATAGAAAATGTGTCTCAACAATTCTGGTAATAATCCTCAAATTCAAATCAAAGTTTTCAAGTGCTTTACAAGTTGGGTATCAGTACAGGCGATGACTCTTAATGATGTAACTGACAATATAGTTGTGGCTACAGCTTTCCATGTTCTTGCCAATAGAATGGTAAGTGAATAAATTTATACTATCTATTTTAAACTAGTACATAAAGTGAATTAATAACGAACTTATTCAATGTTGCCCTTGTGAAAAGCTATGCAAGAGAAACCATTACAGTCTTATCAAAATAGGTATCAATAGTAATTTTTAAAATGAAATTGTCTGTTGCATTAGATTATAAAAAAATCAGTATATGTTAGATTTGAAAACTTAATGTTGTATTGTTATCACAATTCTACTGAAATCAGTTAAAGAGTGTGCATGCAGTTTGAATCTTATTTGCCGTCTTTACCATTGTTAGATTTTAAATATGTTGTTAAGTGTTTTTAAGCAGGGCTCGAGGATTTCGTTTTTAACAGCTTTAAAATTGATTAATGGGTGGTCCCATAACCTAACAACGGTAAAGGGGAAATAAAATACATAGTGGAACTGCAAGACAACACCTCTATTCATATTTATGCGAATTTTTGTGGTGGCGGGTTCACAAAAAAGGGGGCTCGTTCCTCGCTATTTTAAATAGCATCAAACTATTTTGCCTTCAAAAATAAATAAGACGGAGTGAAAATAAATTTTACATATGTCGTTAATAGTGTTGGTATTTTTTCTTTTATATGTACATATCTTCTTTATGTGTTTTTTTATTATTTCATTAATATATGTGTCGTAAAATAAAAGTTTTTTTTTTTTATTAAATTTGTTTTTGTTTCTGTTTACACTTTCAACAATATGAATATAATACAATAATACAAAGTAGGAATTACAAGAAGGCTTATCACTGCCTTATCGGAATTATCAGTGTTCAGGTTATAAACATTGGCAGATAGCAGTCAGTCCCAACCTGCTAGTGAAGAAGTACCAACCTTTGTAATATCGAACATAAAGGTTTATGAATTTTCATCTTTATCATACTAAAAACTGTTGTAACTATTTTTATAGGTTTAAAAAAAAAGTATTGAAGGCAATATAAGGGTATTATAAGAAAGAAAGAAAGTGAATTTTACTCTAGGATATTTTGTTCTGCATTATACATTACAATTAAATTAAATTTTACGGATATATCAGCCCTGTTTACCAGCCTATTTAAGAGTTTGTTCTTAAACTTTGGAAATAGTTAAATAAAATAAAATTTTGATTGAGACAAAAAATGGATAGTAAAAAGTTAAACAATTATTTTTCACCATCGACTAATAAGAGTAAAAAAATAAGTCAGGAACCTGATAACAAATAAGAAAAAAGAAAAAGAAAATGGTCTAAGGACTTAGATGAAGCATCCATCAGTAATCTCTCCTTAAATGAATGAATGAACTCTTTAGGTATGCTCATTTATAAAATATTACAAACATTAGACAAAAAGTTAGAAATATTGGCTACGGAAAATTATATTGCAGTATTTGCTAATGCAATTGAGCTATTATCCACAAAAAATATGATATTACGACAAGAATTGAAGTTAAAACATGAAACTAATGAACTACTATCGAGATAGGTCCAATTTATTCAAAGAGAAATCAAGAAAAATAATGTTTTTGTTAAAGGCATAGATATTGGCCCTACTGAGAATTATACACAAAACATTAAACAACTAATCTAATACCTTAGGTATGCCTGAAAATATTATATAATCGAGCTTGATTTATTGGTGATCGTAATGCAAATAAGAAAATTATTTGTGTTAAGTTTTCCACCAATTCAGAAATTAGAAGTATATTAATGCATCCAAAATATTAAAAAGTACTGGAATTTCTATTAAAAAAGAACTTTATATTTCGCAATGGCTAGTCAAATGAAAACTGTTATATTTGAGAAAATGCTTCAAGGAAAAGAACCCAAAAATGCGCCAGTTCACAAAATTTCATTTAATATTGGTGGCTTGTCTGATAAACTTATTTTTGATTCTTTTCTTCAATTTGTCAAACTTTATGATATCATAGCTCTTTATGAGACATTTTTGGTTAAGTCTGATACTTTAAAATTTGAAAAATACTTTAGTGATTATAATTTAATTTTGATCGGAACAAATAAAACTAATAAGAAAGCCATGGCAAGTGGTGGCTTATTGTTAGGTACTCAAAATAATTTAACCATAAGCAATGTGGCATGTAGGTTTGTAAGATTAAATGAATGGGATTTGATTGAAGTGAATTGTGTTAATGTAAAATTATATATTGTACAAGTGTATTTAAATTTTTGTGCTGGGGATGAGGACTCTTCAGCATTATTAAATTTTCTTTCATTATTTAATGAAAAATACGTACTTATAGGTGACTTGAATGAGAGGTTGGCGGAGCGGCATGTTATTACAGAATGTATATCATAGGAAAAATGTTTTTAACAACTGCAATAGAAAATCTGAATCACCATGTTTCTTCGAGAACCTGAGCCTCCTTCACTACAGCCAACCAATCTCCACAATCCTGTGCTATTTCCCTCCATCTTTGATTATCCATCTGCTTCAGATCGTCCTCCAAATTCTCCAGCTATCTACTGCTTCTTTTGCCATCCGCCTTCTCATAGAGTTCATCTAACTTTAGTTCTATTGACCAGTTCAAGTACCTGAGAAGCCTGGTTATATAGATAACAAAGTAGAGAGTGATATAAAGGCCAGAATAGTAGTAAGAAATAGATGCTATTTCAGTCTGCAAAGAAATTTGAAATTTAGATCACTCTTAAAAGAATCAAAATTCTTATATAAAAAACCATAGGAGGCCATTAGGCCAGTGGTTATTTATAGATATATGACATGGGCCTTAACTTATAACTCAGAACGCATGCTCAACTCCTGGGCGAGAAAAGTGTTTAGAAGAATAGGGGTCGCTAAGAACGGGATTTGGATAAGAAGAAATGAGGTGCTATGTGAACCCGATATTGTGGCATTGGTAAAAAGAACCCGAATATAATGTATCACAGATTATTATTAGTATATTACATATATTTTTTGAAATAAAAAGATTTAACTTTATATTCTTATTAACTTATTGACGTTTTATATAAATCTACTTTTAATTTATACTCCCGATTATCAAATAAAATTTATAATATAATTTTAGGCATCATCCAATTTACATGAAGCAGCCGCCGATTGTGTTTGCTCTCTTCTTGAATGCCTTGAAGATAACAATAATCAACAATCGATCGAGATGCAACTGTTCAACGGAGTCATTTCATTAGAGCAACCGTTTCATATTTCTGTCGCACATGAAGAACATGAAAAGTAATTATTTCAATTTATTTACATTTCATAATTACTTCAAGAATATTTATGAACATACTTTTTAAGATACTTTATTTATCCTTCTTATAAGTAATCTATTTTGCTTTATTATTATTATATTATTTTATTTAGCTGAAATTTTTTGTTTCTCAGTGACAATTTTATCAATACTTTATTCGGTAAAAAAATTGACATCAAGTGCAGTACCTCATAATTTACTTCAAAAATGTCTTATCCGTAATAATGTCTATCCGTTATAATGGTTGTTTAGAAACAAAAAATAACATATTTTCTATTTATATGTTATTTTTGAAGAGTAGTACCACAAGATTTTTTTTAATAATAGTAATAAATACAAGTTCATCAAAAATGATAACGGTTTTTATTATCATATGTAATCAATTTTTGCCTAATACTTAAGAAGGAATTTTGTTTCTATATTGTAGTCCGTAGTACGAATTATTAACATTGGCCTAAAACTTTGTTAATGGCTTTATCTAATTGTATCCTACATTTCTTTATCTACGGAAATTCTGAGAAACGGGGTTTTTGCTCATTAAATTAATTAATGCAATTAGGTTCTAAAAACTCATAAGCACCGATTTGCTTTCCACATGAATCGTTGGATAATTTTATCACAAAATCAAATAAAAATATGGCCTACATAAATATTGTAGAATTTGGCCTATATAACCTTGTTATTTTGATATGTTGGTGGAGGTCATCCCTAACGGCCCAATATTTTTGAAGGCCAGTTTCACTGTCGATTTTATGATCAAATCATCTGACAATTCATGAATTTTTAGTACCTAATTAAATAGACAAAGTTTGCCCTACTCTAGATTAAATCCGTCCCAATACTAAGAATTTTCATAAATAAAAAAATGTAGGTTATGCTAAGATGAAAACAAATTTTAGGCGGATGTTAATAATTTGATTTTAAAAAAATGGGGGGGTCTGTACCACATACTGTTATAATTCTATTACATATTTCTAATAATTTATATTTGTATCAAAAATGTATTTTTATTCAAAATGTTCATATTTTATTAATACATATATATATTTTTTACAGGTGTGTTAATTATTGTCGAGTATTTACAGAACTTGCTGAGAGTTTCCTAGAAAAAATAGTTAGTGGGAGTAGTCCCAACAAAGCACATTTTGCTATTAAGATTTTCGATCTCGTTCTAACTTGTGTTGGTCATCATGACTATGAAGTAAGTAAAGAAAAATTGACAAGTTTTTTTTAAAATTATCTTATAGAACACTATAGTTTTGAAATTTTATATGTTTTAAAAATGTAAATTATCCTTGTTTTTCAAATATTTAATGACTTACTTCCCCTTTTAGCGGTATACTGCATCTCTGAACGTTTGAAGCTTTCCAATATTATGTTCCCTGTCACCCCTGTACTACGTCCAGACAAATCGGATATCCTTTTTTGCGATTGTTTCTCTGGATGTTTATTGCTCCTATTGTTGTTTAGCAGTAAACATCTGAAATAATTTAAATCCTCGATTTCTCTTGGACTTCTTTGGGTGTGACAGGTACATCTTCCTCTTCTTTTATACATTGATATTTATTTTATTTAACTTGTTGTTTTTAATTTAAAAGTTCAGAGGTAAACAGTGTTTTATGCTTTTCTATTTTATTTTTTCATAAGCCTACCCAAGTACTTTTCTATGTATCATATTTATCTAGAAAAAAATTGATGTTTCTTTTGATTTTTCTACTGTAAATTCGTACAGATGGATAATATTTCTGTATTTCAGTTCTAAACCTCACTGAGTTGACTAGATGAAATGTGAAAAAGCTACGAATTTCTCTGAACTAATTAATTTTTTTTTTCGATTAACAGAATTTTTTAAGCATTGAATTTTAGTTCTGTTATTTAAGTTTTTATATTTATTTATTTCTTTAATTATAAAGGAAGATATGAATTCATGATTTTCAGCCAAACATTTTTTTTATTGTAGTTGCTGATATTTTAACTCAAGCATATGGGTATATGATCAGGCCCAAAAATTAATTATAATTTAATTCTTAGCCTTAATGATACAGATGCTTGAGTCAAAATATCAGCAACTAGAATAAACAAATGTTTGACTTTAAATTATGACTATCTCTTCTTAGATAATTAAAAAAATATAAATGCTCAATAAAATCCATCTCTACAATGAGTTTTTAACTGATTTTCTTCATCACTTTGTGTTTACATCCATTTGCCTTCTCTGGTTGTCATATTGGTATCTTGAAATTTAAGGCTGACATATAGAATCTTTAAAATAATATTATTTTTCAGGTAGCTGCCATTACATTTAATTTATGGTATCGTCTTTCGGAAGAATTATACCAAAAGAAAAACTCTGGACTGACCTCTTTATTCAAACCATACATCGAAAGGCTTATTGAAGCATTATGTAGACATTGTCAGATGGAACCCGATCATGTGAGAAAATTTTTTTATTAGTTACTTTTGAATATTAACATATATATGAATATTCCTATTATTAATTTAATTCATTCATAGATATCTATAAAAGTGTGGCAATAATCTTATGAATTAAGCATACTTTTTCCTTACTTATAAAACAGGCTACTACCATGTCTTGGCCATTCCGTAAATTATTTCTGTGGTTCTTAAAAAATTTAATTTTATGTATCATTGAATAAATTTGACTAGATAATTTTTTATGTATTTGTATTTGTTTTTTTAGGAAGGGATCCTTGAAGAAGGGGATGATTTTCCTGATTTTAGGATGAAAGTTGCTGAACTGATTCGTGATGTCGTATTCATAATCGGTTCTTCCAACTGCTTTAGGCAAATGTTTATTTCCCTACAGGGGCCAAATACCACCTGGGACACCACAGAAGCTGCGTTGTTTATAATGCAAGCTGTTGCCAAAAACATTATTCCGTAAGTTTATTATTTTTAGTAACTCTGTACTTGTAAGAAAAAATAAAAATTAAATTTTAATCTGGAATTGGTTCTATCTTAATATTTATGTGCTGTTAAGAACACTTCCTATTTTTATTTATTTTAGATTATTATATTTAATTTTTGATTCATTACCTGATTTTTATATCTTCCCGATTTAAATTCACAAAGTATCTGATTTGTATAGGGAAGAAAACGATGTTGTCCCTAAGGTTGTCGAGGCAATTTTAAACCTTCCTCCAAATACACACATAGCAGTCAGATCTACATCAGTTCTCCTACTGGGAGAATTGTGCGAGTGGATTGAAAAGCATCCCCAATATTTAGGTAATTACTTAGCTTTAAGAAGCATTATTTAGAATTTGTTTCGATATTTTTTGATAAATATTGTATTTATATTAATTCATGTCTGATGAATAAGAATTGATTTAATATTTCCTTTTTTCTAAAGATCAGATTTTTAAAGCTGTGAGGAACCTTGTTTTTATAACTGTAATCCTTGTCTAAGCTTAATAATGGTCAGGACAAAAAAATAAAGTGATGAATATTTATCTTTATGTTACTTAATTGTGTTTAGATAATTTTTTTTGGTTTAATGTGAAATGAATACTTCCTATTTCTAACCTATTCCTTATCCTAAAAGTTTTTCCTTGGTAGCCCGTGTTAGCAATTTTGTTTTTCACATGTTTGAACCCATATACACAAGTTTAAAAAATGAAAACTTTGTGCAGTATATTTTCTGTTTCGATCTCCAAGTTATTGGCTTAATATTCTTTAAATCACTCACCCTTTTTTAAAGCTATGGCTCGAGAATGGCTGACAAGTTTCGTTTTACTTCAAATAACATATACTTTCATAATTTACATTCAAACCTTCATCTGTGAATGAGGTCTCTTTTTAGGTCCTGGCTCCTGGACTATTAAAATATGCCAGCTTTTTTTCATAAGATTAACAGCTGAAAGCTCAGGCTGTATAGTGTTAAAATTAGTGGTTTGAACATAACGATTAAACAATAATTTCCGTTCTATCTCTAGATCAATAAAGTGAAAAGTTGAATTATATTATTTATTGATTTATTTTTTGTGTTTATATTGAGTAATGAACTCTTCAATTTTTTGTTGTTTTTTTTTGTTATAGAACCAGTATTGAATATGGTGCTGTTCTGTCTTCAGCAGCCACAGTTGGCGAATTCAGCTGCAAACTGTTTACAAAGTATATGCAGTACATGTAAAAATCAAATGGTGGCCAAATTTTTAGGTCTTCTCCAGATACTTCAATCCCTCGACAAATTCGTTCTGACGAATGAATCAGTTGTCGGACTTTTAAAAGGTATCTTCTTAAAGATTTTATTTATCAAGTTGAAATGAATTTTTATTGTTCATATTAGTTTTACTTTATAATAAACTAATAGTAATTTTATTATTATAATAACATTAATTTTATTATATAGGTGTTGCTTCCATATTGAGCATAATGCACCCCGATCAGTTACAGCAGGCTATGAGGGATGTTTGTCTCATCCAGATTAAGCCACTTGTTCATTTAATTGAGGTAATTATTTTATAATTCAGTTATTTATTACTTATCGATGCAGTGTTCAGAATTGATGTGGGCAGGGTGGCCGATGGTAAAACATGCATTGCCCAGAAGTTGAAGTTTTTATTAAACTATTCTTTCACAATTATAAATTATTATATTAAAGAGACAAATACGCAACTGGTCAACAGTTAAAACTGGTCTAGTGTCTAGAAACAGGTCTAGTCTGTTTCTACTGCCAGTCTATCAACTGCTTCCTGCAGTGCCCCATGCAACGCTCTGATGAAGACCTGTAACGTGGGTCGAAACTTCGGCGAACCAGAAGTTTACAAGTTGAAATTCTGGTGCCGGGATGCCTTTTAACTCAGACATTAATCCCTTGCAAAAACCCATATATCCTATGAGGAAAGAAAGAATAAAAAGTGCTTTGAATTTATTTATTACCCAGGACTCCACCTGGACAAAGATCTAACTTGGAATCCACATACCAGACTGAAACGACAAGAAACAGCTCGACGTTTCCGACTACTTCAACACGTTCAGACGAACGCTCTAACCTTCCATTTAATTACAAAAGACTCATTTACATGACTATAATAAGGCCTATTTGGACTTATGGAGTTGAGCTATGGGGCTCCACCAAACCTTCAAATTACTCTCATATCCAATCCAAAATCCTTCATAAAATCCTCAATGCTCTTTACTTTGTTACAAATAAAATCATCCACAATGACCTTAATGTTCCTTATGTATCAGATTTGGCCCAATCCAGATATCTGTCCTTCCATAATAAACTTCATAACCATCCTAACCCTCTTGTCTCAAACCTTGCTTCCTATTCAATTCCTGATAACCCTCCGAGGCGTCTGGAAAGAAGATGGCCACGTGATCTCCTAATATAGACACATTATTAGAGTGCTACAAGAATTTATTTATTAGTTGATAAATTATATTTTGTTTTCATTTCTTTTTATAATAGGCTTATAATAGTTTTTGTTCAGTTATTATCCCTTCTTTCCTTTAATAATAGCCCTGGTGAAAGCCTGAAACTTAGATCAATAAGTCGGCACAAAATAAAATATATTTTTTCTTTTATTTGTTGGTTTCTTACTGTGACTAGAAATCCCAATTAATTTCCCAACCAAATTTATGTTCGATATTTTATATTTAATACTCCACCTCCTCTGATATTATTGCTAGCTAATATTTATTTTAATAAAAATAATTACTGAGGTAATAAGTATATTTTTTCTATGATATTTCAGAATGATGTTAAACTGGAGAAAGGTACAAAAACAGATCCAGCAGTTTGGATGGACAGGCTGTCTGCTATATTCCGCCATATCAATCTCACTGTTAGGAATGGTGAAATTCATCCTTGTCAACCTGTCATAACCGAAGTAATTGCTAATTTTTTAAAATTATTTTATAATATAAACAATTATTTTTTAAATAAATATGAGTCCAGTTTAAGAGAAAAAAAATTGTTTAATGATAATTTCAGTAAGAAGTAAGTATTCTCTTTTTATATTTATAGTCATGTATCCAATGGAGCACAATTTTTTCATAAAATAATCAAAATAGTTTAATCTATCAAACCTATCTTTATATATTTTGCCATGAAACGATGGACTTTTATTACTTTAAAAAATAATAGCTCATATAATAACATATTTTATTTATATAGATTAAAATATACTGTTTACTGTTTTTATCATTTCATTCCCTCAATTCTTGTTGTTAAAAATGAATTTGCTTAAAAAAAAAAAAATTAGCCTCCTTATACACCGTTATTTTAACTCAAGAATATTGTTTGAACTGATTTAATTTATAGAATTTGGTTTAACTTTCAAAATTTGTGTATATTTACTTATATAGTACATATTCCCAACAGATATGGCCAGTTCTTTCCTCCGTTTGTTCAAAATACCAAGCCAACTCACATGTGATGGAGAGATGTTGTAGATGTCTCAGGTTCGCTGTTCGTTGTGTGGGTAAACAGTCTGTGAATTTACTTGAACCGTTAGTCAAACAGGTACGATATTTATGTATAGATATATTCTACATTAATAGAATCAAGTGTTTTGTTTAATAAAATCAAAATTTATTATATTATTTTCTCTTTTAGATAGTCTCTCTCTATTCTCAACACGAGCATAGCTGTTTCCTGTATCTTGGTTCTATCCTGGTTGACGAATATGCTTCCGAACCAGGCTGCATCCAAGGGCTGTTAGACATGCTTCAAGCTTTCATTCACCCGACGTTTACCCTCCTTCAAGGAGAAGCGGGCCTGAAATTGCACCCAGACACTGTGGACGATCTCTTCAGGCTCTGTGCGAGGTACATTGGCTTTCTGTCGCTGTTTAGAGTATATCTCTTTACAGATACATTAATTCTTAACACTTTAAACTCGATGCCTTGCAGAAAAATGTTGTGCATAAAGCTTAGTGGCCTTCCATGATCTGAGTGCAGTTATGGAATGAATAGTTCCCTATCTTATAGTCCATGTTAAAATTTATTTTAAACAAAGCAAACAGTGAGGTAACAATGAAAACTATTACTTTAACTTTTAACATAAATACAATTTAATGGGCAGTTACATAACTACCAGCTTAAATGTAGCTTAAAAATTATATTAATTGGATTTGTTGCTAAAACTCTGCTATTCTTTCCTGGAAACCTAAGTCTTTTTTAATTTTACTTAACTATATATGAAGTACATAGTAAGGGGCAGTATTGCGATCGTGAAAATTTTTGAATCTGAGTTTTCAACCAAATACTGGTTTCGAGGTCTCCTGAGTCTAAATAACTAAGTCCAGCTAAATGGTGTGTGTATGCATGTGATCAGTCTAGCTCAAAAACGAGAAGTCATGTGAAAATGAAAACTTAAAATTAGTGTGACAACTTTTGATCTTTCTATGGCAGGCAATTGAAATCTCGTAATTTCATTTTGGTAAATTTTACAATGGAAAATAAGAGTTTAATAGTCGTACAGTCCATAATCTACTAGTATTTTATAAAATAAGTATTATTAATGTCAGTATTATTATTGTAGTGTTTTAATGTCATTAAAAGCAATGCAATTTTTCTTTTGAGTGTGAATATATATATATTTCAGCATTCAGAGATCAGAGTAATATATGTATATATATAAATTACTCTGATCCCTGAACGCTACTGTGAAAAACAATCTTATTTAATATTGTCATTTTAATTTTCTATATATTTAATAGTTGTGTCAGTGATAACCTTGGAAATATGAAAACATTTTAAAGTAAAAAGGTTCTATTCACTATATCTTAATTTTACTATATATTTCCATTTCTTATATAACTTCATATTTTTCTGTTTTACATTTTATTCTAAGGTTCCTATTTTAATACTTATGTCACCTTTTTTGATAATGTTTACTTCATCATTCCACACTTTGTACCGGTTATTATCATTTATCTCTTAGTTCTTACTATTGTCATTATTCTAACAACTGCATTTTAATTTAATTTTTTTACCTACACTACTTATGTTTCTCATACCTTGTTATCTGGTTCTTTTCTTAGCCCTGATGATGGCCTGAACTTCAGGTCGAAACGTCGGCAAATGTCAAAATAAATATTATCATTTATTTTTGCCTTCTTATTTGACTGATCACCCCAACTATTCTTCTCTTCATTATTCACGACAGTCAACGATTTACCCACCATTAAAAAGGTTCTAATTTTTTTTCCAGGTTCTTGCAGAGGGCTCCCATGGCGTTCCTCACCTCACCCGCCATCAACTCCATCCTGGAGTGCGCTCTTTCGTGCATCCCACTTGACCACAGGGATGCCAATTCTTCAGTTATGAAATTTTTCTATGACCTAATTCATGCTGGAATGACTAATGAAGTAAATATTAATCGTATTTATGAATTTTGAAATTTTCTCATGTTTTTATTATATCTTAGCTTTAAAAAAGCATAATTCAAAATTGACAGCTGTCTTTAATTGTTAGGATCACGAAGATTTCGCATTGAGGCAAAGACTGGTACAAAATATAATCCAAGAAAAGGGTTCAGATTTAGTAAACAATCTTCTCACAGCATCAGTTTTCTTCCTTCAGATATATATGCTGTCGGATGTAGCGGACGTTTTGATGGAGCTAATATTACTTGACAAGCAGGTTTGTTAATTTTAATTAAAAAAATCAAAGTTATAAGTTAACTCAGTTTTGTCTTGGTTGATAAATAATTAAGTTCATATAATTGTGTCATTTTATTTTGCAGGCTGCTGGCAGGTGGATAGAACAATCATTGAAAAGAATGCCAACGCACAACAGTACAGGAAGTATTACCGCAACACCAAAGCAATTGCAAGATTTCCATCGTTCTCTACTCAGGTGATTAATTGTTTCTTCATATCATCTTTACTTGTCGATAAAATATTGTGAGCTTAAATGTTAAGTCTCAGGTGCAAAAATTCTCAATTTTCAGAAAACCGAGTTTGAGGTTTCCTTTCTTTGGCTTTCAAAAGTCAAAGAAATTTCATTTATGATATTTTAGCTTCACAAATACCTACTGAGTTATTACACAAAAGTGAAATTTGATTATTTTTTTTATCACAATTGTGGTTTTGTTTTGGCATGGTGATGTAAGATAGATGTGGTATTGTTTATTTTTTATGATTTTTATTCTTATTTTAAATTTATCTTCTTCTTAATCAATTTCTCTTCTTCTAGATCAGTGTAGAGGATCCTGTTTATAGAGCTTGATCCATTTATCTCGTTCCCGCACCAGCTGACTGCGTCTATTCCAATTTATTCCTCTCCTATCTAAATCCTCCCTGACTGAACCTTCCCAGGTCTTTCTGGGCCTTCCTCTTGGCATTCTTCCTTTCACTTTTACTTTATATATAGTTTTGGCCATTCTTCCCTCCTGCATTCTTTTGACATGGCCAAACCAGCATAGCCTGTTTTCCTCAATTGTGTTTTCTGCTGGTTTTATTCCCAAATTGCTTCTTATCGTTGTATTCCTAATTTTGTCCTCCTAGTTTTCCCCTCTGTTCTCCCCAGAAATTGCATTTATGTTTATGTTTTGAGATTATAGTCCAGGATTCACTGCCGTAAGTCAGTATTGGGACAAATGTATTTCTATACACCGTCTTCTTGACATTTTTTGATACTTCTCTCTTTGCTAAGAAGCCTGTTTTTAAATTTGTGAAAATAAAAAATATATATCTTCTTCAAAGGCACGGTCGATGTACTAGGTGATCCTTGGCCTACTTCAATACTGTTGCCCAGGCTTCTTGGTCTCCAGCAAGTGACAGTGAAAGGCCAGATCTGCAGTTACACTGTTCCTCCATCTTCCTCGTGGTCTTCCGCGCTCTCTCACTCCCTTTGGAAGGCTAGAAGAGAGCTATTTGGCTGTCGTTGTCCATTGGTCATTGTTTATTCTTAATAGGTGTTCCAACCATCTCAACCGTCAATGAAGACTCTCAGATGCTGTACATTTCACGGTTTCTTCGTTGACATCACTTTCCATTCTCTTTGATTGGTCTTAACAATTTCTGTGTAAACAAGCCCTTTTGTTTGCTGCTCTGCCATTTATCTCACCCATATCTCACAATATAATATAATTAAATAGTCCGGGTGTAGGACTGATGACCCTCCCCCCCCCCTCCCCCCCCCTTGTGCTAGACAACTTTCACTTACCTTTCTACTTTGAATAGAAATTATTTTCTGGCAATGTTGAGCAACTATAAAATTTTTGAAGTGCACTTTTAACGGAGCTATAGCTTAAAGTTTACGCCTAACAAATGATTAACACTTAACAACAAAAACCCTATTAATTATATCAACGGTTGACAGTAAAAACCTCTTACTCCGTCTGTTTTTGTAAACCACCTAATTCCAGTCTCTGAGCAATATATATATGTACCTAGAGAGATTTGAAAGTATATGGGAATATTTAACCTATAAATGATTATGGATTATTGGACTATTAATTATTAAACTGTTATTTTCCATTGTAAAGTTTGCTAAAATGAAATAAATTTTTCATTGCCTGCCATGGATAGATCAAAATTTGTCACACTAATTCTAAGTGGATAACGTTGGGATTTCACAAAGGAAAAAATTATCAAATTATTCACTAATTTAATTTTTAAATAGTTACATGACAATTTTTCGGAATAACTGACATTGATACCTAATTATTTAAATAAAATATCAGATCTAGGGTTATTAAACTACAGTAAATGTATTTAAGGTTATAAACATATTCTTTATTTACTATAAAATATTTTTATCTTTCACTTTTTCTTTCACATAAGTACTATGAAATAGTTTTTTAAATATTGCCGTTGCCTTGATTAGGTGGATTTAAAATTATTTTTTCCCAACTTAAAAAAATTTACATTTAGATAGTTACTTTAATTTCCTTGAAAACATGTTATTTCCATTAAATAATATTATTTCTCACAAATTATTATATATTATTTTTTGTCACCCTCCATTACTTAATATATTAGATACTGTTTTTTTCTAAAATTCTCTGCTTTCCAACAATATATTATACGTATACCTTCTGACTAATATTTACGAAAATTCATTTTCTACCCAAACAAACATTTTTCCTTTTTCCTCCATTTTTCAATTATAAAATTCTTTCAAAAGTTATATTTCAAATTTCTTCGTAACCCTTAATAATGAGAGATAGTTAATTATTTAAAATAAACCAAATTAAAGGTACTTTAGAGGAATACATGTTGAATATTTAAGCCCTGTAAAGTGACAATGGGGATAATAGACTTATCAAATACATACACAGACCATTTTACGGGAGTTGGTTAATTAGACTCAGGAGACCTCAAAACATGTATTTCTGTTGAAAATTCAGATTCAAAAATTTTCAAGGTCGCAATACTTTCCCTTACGATATATTACATATGAAGTGAAAGTAAAAATCCTTAGAAATTCAAATCATTAAGTGAAAACCAAGTTATCACAAGTGTGGTTTTGGTTTCAACTTATTACAGTTAAAAATACTGTAGCAGGATAGCTATATTGATATATAGCTAGCTGAATATTGATCGTTCATTCAATATTCATGTCAATTGTTTAGAACCATAACACTTTAAGAATTTAAGAGTTGTGTGAATACCCCTTATGTTTCTATTTATTTCTTAGATATAACAATTGCACCTAAATCTTTATTATCGTTATAGATACCTAAGTCATTGAAGATAATTTTATTATAGATTTTTGAGGGTTGGGGAAGTATTTTTTGGTCAAGTCATTATCCAAAGCCTTGGCAACCCATTTCTAGGTCCTGGCTTGCACAAGCAGCTTTTGCCTATTTAATCAATGAAGTGCCGCTGTTATTTTCTGAACCTGAGCCTGGACTTTTTTATTTTTCTTCAACGCCTTCAATACATTGATGCTTCGAGCGACCTTTCGGTCAGGTCCTCATTGAGTTTTTTTTCAAGATCACGCCTGGCCGTATCCTGGCTATATGGTCTGCCCTATTTTGCCTATTGATTCTTACAATTCTCCAAACGTCAGACTCATCATTAAGCAAGGATTATACTTCCATATTAGTTTGCCTTCTCCATGTTGATTCATTTTTTACTTTCTTTCAAATATTAGGAAAAACTTTTCATCAGACTTTCAGAAGTCCCATGTCTGAAGCATAGGTAAGCACTGGTCTGATCAGTGTCTTATACACTCTTGTTTTTGTAATCCTAGAGATATTCCCAGGTGCTGACTCAATCCAAAATAGCACCTAGTGGGTGATGCTATTCACCTTTTCATGTCATTACATGAATTAGCCTGTGAATCCAGTTAGACAAGCTGATTACCTCTTTTCAATAAAGACTAACTTCTTCGCTGATACATCTAGCTAGACCAGTAATCAGTTTTACTACAAAATTCTAGCTTCCAGAGAGCATTCTCGATGGCAAGCAATCCATCTACCACTACAGTTTTCCGCTTGTATCGATGTCATCATATTTCAGAATTTGAACCATCATTCAAGATTGTTCTGGTCTGAACCATTGATTCTTTGATAGCTTTTTCCAAACCAATATTAAAGAGCAGAGAGACAAAGAAGTCTCAGCTTGTAATTTCTTGTAGTGGCAATCTTTTACTAGGATTCCATATTATTTTTTTCTAGTCCAAATTTTGCTCAAGGTGTCAATTCTATATAGGTCTGGAATTAATAGGTTTATATCGATGTTTCAAAAATTGTGAACAGAAATATAATATTCATTATAAAATTAACTCAGTCAGTAAAAATTCACAGAATTTGTATGTATAAAAAAATTGTGTATTGAAATTATCCAATGAAGGACTAAATAACTAACATGTTAGGCTAACATAATGAACATCATTTTGAAAATGGTGGAACAAATATAGCCTAAACAATTTATGATGAATCTATTTCACCTTAAACTAAAATATAATGAAATTGTGTATCAATTAATTTAAAAAAATCTACACTATAATCCATGAAGGGTCTTGGGTTCAGTACTTTATTATACTGTTCCTAGGCTAACGGTTATTCTATTTACCATTATATATGACTATGACTATAGTAAATATTGTAGTTAAGATTTCTTTCTTTCTTTAAGATAATTTTAGCCTATGTAGAGTTATGAGGTATCTTAATTTAGCTATTGATTTACTATTACTATAAATATGATTATTGGTTATATCCTGTCATTATAAGTTTGTGAATTAAAAAAGAAAAAGTCATGAACTATATAAATATTATTTTAAATTAAAATATAGGAACTTGAATTAAAACTTAATTAAATACTGGGATAGAACAGAAATGTATCATGCCCACTTGTTACAAATCCTTTTAATATGTCTTCGATCTTAAGTTATATTTTATATATTAAAAACATATTTATAGAAATCCAGGTTATTTAACTTAATATATGAAGTATTATAGGTATAAGTTGTATCGACCAAAGGGCATAGTTGTAAATTGAAAAAAAAAAATGTCATGACCTGTAGACAAACTATTTTTATTTAAAATATAGAAAAAGGTACTGAGATAGAACATATATGTGCTATTCACACTTGTTATATATTCTTTGAATATATCTTTGATCTTTGTTGTATTATATATATATATTTGTTGTATTATAACATACTTACAGGAATCCAGGTTATTCATGTTAATATACCAAGCAATAAAGGTATAAGTTGTTTTGCCCTATGGGCATAGTTGTTGATAATGAGGAATGCTGTGCTTAAATCTATTTTACATTTATGAATTATTGATAAAATTAAATATAGTTAAGTAAATATGGAGGTCATAAGAAGGAGGCTACATTGAAATATTATATAGCCTCCGATACAAATCTCCTATAGAAATATTGGATGAGAACATTCTTGAGGTATTAAGTTTTATCACAAGGCTACATTATCCAAAACAATTTATATAAATTCCTTAAAATCGTTATTTATTTAATTCTTTTTTTATTTTTTTTTACGAATTATTTAAAGTTGGTTCTTGAGTTACAAAATACACAAATGGTTCTGAACTAATTTGTATTATAAGTGCATATGTATACAATGGTGTGAAAAAGTCTTCGAACAGACCAAATTTTTATGAAAATGATAAAATTTTCAATTTAAAATTGGTTTTATCTTCTTGATTGCAAACTAATTTAACCATGCAGACATTGTAGATGTAATATATATTTAAATTAGCATTAATTTAATTTAATAATGAGCCTAGGGACCAATCTGTTGTGTTGACGATATTTTGTCCTCTGAATTATGCTATCTATTGTTCATATTTCACTACTTTGTTATTATCCATTTCAGTCTTTATTGTTAACATCAAGAGCCATTGTAAAAGCTCTATAATGCTTAGTCTATCTGTGAAAATTGTTCTAATATAGGAATTCTTTGCTTTTTTATGGTAATTTGATTTAATGTTCCATATTTAAACTTTCTTATTTTTTTCCTTATTTCTATTAATGTTACTTTCATTTTAGAAAATGGCAAGATATATTTTTGACCGACATAAAATTATAATTTTGTATGAAGGAGGAGTTACAATTAGAGAAATTAAAAAAAAAAAAAAAGTTGAAGGTTCTATTTCTGAAATTCATAATGTCATCAAAAAGTTGTTAGAAACAAAGCAAAATGGAAACTGGAAACGTTCAGGTAGGTCTATAGCTGAACATATTTAGAATCATTGTGTTGGCACAATCCTTAAAAATCTTGCAGAGAACCACAAGGACCACAGTTTTGTCCTCCGTAATCAGATTAAAATTTCCAATCATTTGGGCAAAAAATTGTGTTGCCCTACAAAAAATCATATTTTCGATCTCTTAACAAATGAAAGCGACTTAATGATGCCAAAGAACACAAAAATTTAATCAATTTTCATTGAGATTTCAAATTCAGTATAAATTTGAAATGTTTGGTTTTGGAAAGACACTTTTTTGTTTTGAGAAAATTGGAGAGTGAAATTTTCAGATGAATGGATGAAGTAAAACGTGGAGGTGGCTTCTAAATAGTTTAGGTTTGTTTTTACATCTGGAGTTGGAGATCTCCTGTGAATTGATCGAAAAATGGTACCAATGCATCCTTACATCTCATTTGGACTTTAGCTAATTGGACAGAACTTTACTTATCAGCAAGATGATGATAAAAAATATTTTGCCATTTTCTGAAATAAAAGTTACATCAAATAGAAAAAATAATAAGAAATTTTGAAATATGAAATGTTAAATTAAATCACCGGAAAAAAAAGCGAACAATTCCAATATCAGTACAATTTTCACGGATTCACTAAGCTTTATTGGGTTTATACAATGGCTCTTTATGTTAACCATGAAGTAGCATTATTCAGAGGACAAAAAATCATCAACACAACAGATTGATCCTTTCCCTCATTGTTAATTTAAATAAATATTACGTCTGCAATGTCTAGATAGTTTAATTAATTTAATATCAAGAAGAAAAATAATTTCAAATTGAAAAATTTATCATTTTAATAAAGATTTGGTCTGTTCAAAGACTTTTTCACACCACTGTATGTTTATATAAAGCGTATTAAAGCAGAAAATAAAATTTTGGAAATATGCGAATTCATATATGTTATCCTTAAATTTTTAATAATGATCATGGTCGAATTTCGACCATTGTGCAAATACTAGTTTATGTAAAAAATATGTATTGTTGAGATATTTTAGTTTTCTTAGTTGAAGTATCAATGAATTTCTTATCCAAGTATGGCTTAAATTAAAATATTTCTCTAATGTCACCTATACTTTTAATATATTAGTATGAAGGTTGATAGATATATACCGCAACAGTTCTCCCATGGATATACTTATTCTAAAATATTTTTATTTATCATACGTTTTGAAAATTTAAATATATTGTTTATTTTAAGTTTCATTAGACCTCCTTTCTTTATCTTCATGATTCTTGCTTTAAGAAAAGCAATTCCTAGAGATTTAACAGTTTCTTAATTATTTATTTAGTTAATATCCTTATATTCAATTCACACATTGAAGACCAGTCTTATAGCCATGTTATATCCTCATTTTTTTTTAAGAGTTGCCTAATGAGTGTCTACAATACTATTATAGCTGCCACAATAGTATTATTAGTTGCTGTTTAATTTATTATGCCAATCCCTTCCACGTCTGTCAGGGATATTGACATAATAATTTTGCTTTTGTATATTTATTGGAATGCTGTGAACTGTATATAAGGTATTTGATTAATATATAATTAATCTATTGAGTTGAACAGATTGCTATATTTTTGTATTATAATTTGATTGATTAAAGCCGCATTTTTTACAATGAATTGTTAGTGTATTAATGAATTTGGTATGACTATTACAACTATTTTAACTGGATTTGGTGGGTGGTGGCTAATAATGAATTATTTATGTACTTGCTGCATTCTCCATTTTCTTTTTATCGTCCTCTCCTCTCCTTGCTAAGCTTCTTGAGTCTCTACTCCATTTCTTCTTCTAGTGTAATATGGAGAAATATGCTCCTTCTTGCTGGCCAGTTCTGTCTCTTCAGTCTTTGTTGCTTCTCTAGCCTGCCAAGTGATGGCAGCAGTGCTGCTTGCTTCATCAGTAAATTTAAATTAAATTAAATAAGAATTTGCTGTGTTCCCTCAATAGTTGCTGTTAATAATTATTGAATTGTTAACTGAGTAAATAAAAAAACTGCGATACAAGAAATTAAAACCACTCATTGGTTGCAACTTCATTTATCAAGTTTTAACAAATATGCTGTTAAAAATGTTTAATTATTTATTTATTTAAATTTCAGCGCCTGCAGTTCCAAAACTCTTACAACTACACTGAAAGAATTTTCTCGCCTCTACCGCTGACGAACTAAAATTATCGACTACTACATTTTATCTACAAGACATGTGATATATTGTATATCTGATTACGAAAATTATTTTTTTAATTGGTTTACAATCATTTTAGAGCTTAAGAAGAAGTATAGAGAAGAAAATGCAGTGCATTGCCTTTGAGAATTGTAATTGATAAACTATTACTCTTGTGTGCTCAAAGTAATCTAAGTCAGTATGAAAGTTTTGATGGAAAAACAAAACAAAAATTAACATCAAAATATGACATTATGTACTGAAACAGATAATTGTAAAAAATGTTTGTTGCTACATTTTTTTATTTTGTCGCATAGAAATCTGTTCTTTTCATTTCTGTGTTAATTGAATATGAAGAACTGAGAGTAAATATATTCCTAATTTAATTTATGTATAATATATATATATAAATATAAATATATAGATATTTATTGTAAATATTATAAATATGAGTTATTTTTATGTTGTAACCGTTTATTAAGGGACCTGTTTATAATTTGTACAGTGTTTGTTATTATCTGTTTACCGTTATAATGAGGTATTCGTACCTTATGATAATAATTAAAACTATTGCTTTTATATATTTATTTCTTTTCTTCTTTTTTTTTTTCTATCTATCCATAGTTCTTTATATTTCTGTAATATGTTCAGAAAAAATAACTTTATTTATTGAATTTTTAAATAAAGACTACTCGATTGTATTAGGACTTGTGTAAATTGTATATCTATTATGTGTTTAATTAAATATTTTATATTTATATACACTAATTAAAAAGCGTCATTTTTATTTTATTATTTTCACATAATTGTTTAATTGTTCAAATGAATGGTTAAGGCATAACATTAACAATACAATAATCCTTTCAATCACCAAGGTAATTAGTTTATATTTGTTTTTAAAAATCTTATTTTCTACTGAATCTGATTTTGAAAAAAATATATAAGCAAGGCATTTAATTGTGAAATGCATGTTGGCAATTAGTGTTGTAATGAATGTTTGTATACAAAACAATCACTTTCTAGACAAAAAGCAAAATTGACCCACCCTACTGTCGTTCTACAACATATAATATGGCTAGTGTTATTTTCAAGCGATTAATAATTAAGCTTTTCTCGCAGTAATTGTCTCAACACTCGACACAAATTGTAGCCTGTGCAAATTATATTCATATCTAGAAATATATAGGCAGCAGGGCAGAAAATGGGCCTACGAATCAATTGGGTAAAGACCAAATATATTATGGCCATACCTACTGTTTCTTAATGTTATATATTTGACAATGCAAATAGTTTTGTATATCTAGAGTAATGGGGATACACAAATAGTTATTATTTTTGCCTGGAAGAAAAACTTTAAAGACATTTGCTGTCAAGAAATATAAACATTTCTTAGTACAAAAAATTAATAAGTCCAATATTAACTTTTGTATCACAGATATAGATATTGGCCATCAGCGTGAATGATCAGGTTAAATCTTACAGACAATTTCAGCAGCCACATTTGAAAAAGCCTGTAAGAACTATTTTATTGGAAAGTGAAGTTTTGAGTTGTTTGGTCAAATTAAAAAATCTGGTGAGTTGCCTGCATCACACAAAGTTCACTTACCACTTATTTTGACTAAAAATAGGTATCTTCATAAATAGTGAAATTAAATTAAAAATTATAGTTGGTATAATATTATATTATATCATATTTAAAACAATTAATTATTATATTTATATCCAGCTGTCTAAACTATTAAATGTATGCGTTCTTCGTCATCAAACATTTCTCTCTGTGAATGTGTATTTTAATTATAATAAATAATTAAGTCCACCGAAACTTTTCTGGTTTGACAAGAGTGCCTGTGATAGAGGCCATTATATTTATTTTTATATTCCACTGCGGGTATTTTTATTTAATAAAGCACGGGTCACAGGTATATATTCAAATTTTAATTTTTATATTGTGATCTATACAATTAAATATTAAATAATACCAGCACTAGTATTTATGAAAACCGCAAGTGTATTTGTATATAGTATTATCGGAGACTGCACATTTGTTGATTTTCTACCGAACAAAATCAAAAGTAATTTAGTGATAATTAAAAATAATAGAAAATTCGGGATCTAAGCCTGTCGGACAATTATAAAGAGAATAATACCAGCCTAATATTAATGACCACTTAAATTTACTCTGATAAAATGAATTTAATTAAAATAGTTTTGTTGAAAAAATATATTAAATCAATGGCATAACGTGCCATTTATGGTTAATCAATTTTAGCGAAAAAGTTCTTATAACATTTTAGCCATATACAAATTAATTAATTTTCCATTCTGCAGATTGTCCATACTGCACTTTCCTTGGCGCTCTTCCACCATATGTCCTTTCATATGTCATATGTCCTTTCCATATGTTTCAGCCGTCTTGTGTGGGGCGTCTTGATGAAGATTCCATTATCAGGCCCCTACCTATAGTGCGGTTAGCTCTTGGTTGTACCTGTCTCTCCAGACTCCTCTCTCACATAAAGGTCCGTATATCTTGCACAGGATCTTCCTCTTCCAGACTGCCAGCATTCTTTCCTGTTCGGCCATCATTGTCTGTATTTTGCTGCCACAAGTTATCAGAGGACGTATTGGCTTGGACCACTTCTCGTGCCTTTTTTGACATACTGATTTAATTACCTGCTGAAGGGGAAATGGCACTAGTTTCTCGCAGATGTTCCAGTGCCAATATTGTTACTTTCTGTTATTAAGGAACCAAGATATTTGTAACTCCTTGCATACTGGGCAATTATGGAGGCTGATAGTTATGATCTCATTGTTGTAGGCAGTCTTCTTTTTATTTATGCACAGACCCCCTCGCCACTGCTGTTGTCCCTAAAGCCCTGCCAGTGCTGGGAGAGATCTGGCCACAATCTCCACATCGTCTGCTGCATGCTGTGTGAGATGGATAAGGATTGTGTCTCCCACTTCTGTCCTGTTTAAAATTGATGGGATTGATGAAACTTGTCCGATATAGAGAAAAATCTCCCTCTCTCGGGTGAAGAGAGAATGAAGTCCACGATCACAGAACAGCTTTTCAGCTTATATAATTAATACAATTTTATTTGATCCTCCTGTCTTAAAATTCAATATTCTTATATCCTTGTTATTATAATTTAAAAAAAAAAAACATTGCAAGCTAATTTGTCTAACTCCTTCTTGGAACATTACTATTCATTATAAAAAATCACACATAGAAACGTTAGAAAGTCTTAAACAATTATAAGCATTAAAATCTTGGTAAAAAACATAAACATAGTAAAGTTTTACCTATAACAAAATTCTATTCTACGTGAGTAATTTTAAGCGTTGCCTGCTCTTATTGACAAATGTTAGACGGCCATATAAGTAGCGTGGTATTAAAGCACCCACCGCCATTAGTTCGTAACGAGCGTGAAATTGACCTCGAAGAAATAATTGATATGATGATGGTATATCTATGGCTACCATGTTCTCCCAACCTCATCGTGTTCCATGATTGCTACAGGTCTCATCCGGGGTTGATAACATATTTTCTGACAAATCGAATAATAAATAAAAAAGATCTGAGATTAGGTTATCGATGAAATGAAAAAAAAAATTATGTTTTTCGGATTTTAATGTCATTTGCCTGGCTTATTATTTACTACTAGAAAACCACGCTGTTCCGAGATCATCCCCTCCCTCCGAGTATGTGAGACTTGTCAGACTGCTGGAAGCAATTTACACCGAGCGAGACACAATAGGACCCCCCATCGCTCCCAATAAATTTTTTTTTTAATGTTATGGCTCAGGCCACGGGCGCTCCAAAAAATGGTTAAATATAACCATGTTTTATGGAAAAAAATTATCTCTATATAATAATAAGTATTATTATTCGTGTAATTACATTTAAAAGAACTTTAGGAATCCCTTAAACACCATTTCATACAGTTTTTTTTCAAACTAATTAATTATCGTTGTTTTTATAAAAAAAAAAAAAAAAAACCTTTCGGGCTGAAGCTCCCCTTCCCTCCAAAATTAAATCCTGGATCCGCTAGTGGCTCTCAGGCGAGTCCAACTCCAAGGATCAGAAACATGAACATTGATCAAGAAAGACGAGCGAAGTTCATTAATATTTGAAAGGAAAATTTTGCTGGGCATGTTTGGAGGGATTTTTCTGGAGGAGGAGAACAAACCTTCAAATCTATAGTTTTATTTATTATGCCAACCCTTTCTATTACTCTCCGGGATATTGACATAATAATTATGTTTTAATAGGTGGAACACATTTTATTGCTTAAATAAAATTAAAAATTAAAGGGATTAATGGACTTTAAGAAACTGTAAGATTAAATTGATTGCTTTATGTTACTTTAGGATTTGACCCACTATTGAAATTTAGATGAGTTGCGGATTCACACTTGCTGTTATTACTTGCTTCTGTGTTTCCATCTTCATTGCCTCTTCTTTCTTCCTTTCAAGGCCCCCTTGCCGGGCCGCTAGTGTTTACTACTCCATGCCTACAAAAAAAGTTGTCTTCAGTATGCCACAGACGGCAGCAGCGTTATTTTACCTCAGTTCAATCAAACGGGACGTTTGCTATGTTCCCTTAACACAAGAGATATACGTGCAGGAAGACTCCGATAGGCGGGCCATGTGTCAAGAATGTCGGACCTAGAGATCCCATAAAAGATCCTTTCAGGAAAGGATTCTCATCGGACAAGGAGGTCTGGAAGACCCAAGCTATGATGGGAAGATGGAGTGGCCCATGATATCAGGAAAATGGCGGATGTGAGGAACTGGAAGACGGCGGCACACAACCGAGTCGACTGGTGGAAGTTGATGTTGGAGGCCATGACTCACTAGTGGGTTGTAGTGCCTAGGAAATAAGTATGAAAACGTTATGAATTATATAATAAATCCTATATAGGTTTGAAAGACAATATTGCCCCATTTACATACACAATTAATGAGCGTAAAATAAATGCTCATTAATGTTAAGAGAATTATTTTCATCCCAGCAAATCAAATGTGCGTGTAATGGTCTTGGGCTTAGTAACGAAAGAATTCCTAAAAGATTAATATTTTCTATACCTAATGGTAAACGTCCAACATGTAGACCAAAGCGAAGGAGGAAGATTGCTTTAAAACCGATCTGAAGGGACTGGGTCTGGACGGAGAACGGTGGAGGGAGGTGTGTAATAAGCGATTGGTGATGTCGTCGTCGAACCTTCGGGTTCGCTAAGCCTTTTATTATTATTATTTTCTATATCTGATAACAACCATCATACTTTTCCAGGTTTCGAACGAAAAGGTAGAAACCGAGAAATGCTTTTTTTTTTCATGCTTTGAAAAAAAAATATCAATGGAAAATACATATGTGTCCAGCACGGTACAAAATGTGCCATCAAAATTTTTGAGGGAGCAAATTTTTACGGGGTTATGGATTAGTTTTTGGGAGAGGGAGGAAGGGAGTAAGGCGTATATTTACACTGCCTACATATTCAGACTGCATAAAGGTAGGACAAAAAAAAAAAAAGGGAAATAAAAGGTAAATTAAAATTGGAGTTAAGAAGCTATTATGAGAGATTTCAGACAGCCAGTGAGTTTTCTAATGATGTTGATTATAAGGTTAAGGAAATAGAGTAAATTAATTTGAAAACTTCCATACTGGTTATATTTTTATTTATATTATTGTTTACGAATTATGATTTAAAATTTTAATTCTCTTAAAAAAATAATTATAAATTTTCCGTATTTTAATAGATTCCGTGATTCTATGCCCCTAAAAAGCCGCCAACTCCTAGTTTCCTCACTCACCATTCCTCATCTCGATTATGGCTGCCTTATATAAGGGTGGGCTATCTGGTGTGCTTCAGATCAGATTAAAAAGAATAATGAATTGTTTCATTAGATTCATCTTTGGAGTCCCCAGGCGCTCCCACGTCTCCAGTTGGTATGCTGAGTTTTAAGCTGCTCTATCCAGATTTCCGAGGCAATATTCCCTAGGTGTATCCCTTTTCCAAACCTTTGCAACCAAAAAGCCATCTTACCTTCTTGATTTGTTTACTCCTTGTTCCTCTGTTCATTTGTTCAAGACGAGATCCCAGTTCATAAACCTGTTCCCTCTCATAGAACCGTATCCTTTAAAACATCCTTTATCATGTGTTCTACCTTTTTTTGGAATACTCTACCTATCTCACTACGCAAATCCTCTTCCTTAACCCCATTTAAACAACATCTACTCTTTCACCTCCTTAGCAATCAATCTTCCGAACACATTTAAGGATAAAATTTCGTATTAAAGAGCTGTCTCTCTCATTTGACTGTTACGGTACTATTACTAACGTATCATCAATATTGTTAATCATAATATGTTTATCAATATGTACAAATCAATATGTTAACACGTACTTAATTTATTTGAATTATAAGGTTAGATTATTGTGTTGTGTTAGCTAAAATGTTTTCTTATTATTTATAATGCCAGACAATTTTCATCGTTTTGTACATTATAATACTATAAGGGGATTAAATGTCTCAGAATAAAATTTATTTTTCTTTCTTTCAAACAGACATTCCTCAAAGTTAACGCTTAATCATTTGATTCTATGAAGTATTAATTAATTGTAAGATAAGACGTGTCAAAAAAAGCCAAAAAAAAACCTAAGTACAGCGTATATATGTGCTGATAAATCTTCAATAAGATTTATATAATCTGTGATTTTTTAATGGATGAGGTATATCAACAGGCTTTGTCGTCATACGGATTATTATATCATATTATAAGTTGTTTTCCTCAGTGAGACCGAGGCTATCGACAATAACTCCTACTCCTAATATGAAGAACCTCTTAATTGCATATTTTCTGTGCTATGGGTTACTCATGGTACATGCTGACGAACACACCTATCCAGGTAAACTTTTAGATAATAAATACATACAAACAAAAGCTTATTAAGTGTAGTTAAACCTCAGCGAAATATAATCCGTTAAAAGCAGGTATCCTTGAGCACAACAAGAATAAATGCTTCCACTGGTCGGATTCGAACTCACCTTAATCACGAAAAGTTACAAATTGTAATCTAAAGTAGATTGGTCATAAGGCCCGGATCTTTATACAATTGCATTTTTTTTTTGTATGCAATTTTGGTTGAACATTTTCAATAACGAACCATTGCAACTGACCAAAAAATTCAAAAACTTGTAGAATTTGAAAATCGAATAAAAAATTGTTTATCCGTCCGGCGTCTGCGCATTTTCTCCGAGACCAGTGGCCCAACTTTTTTCAAATATGGATTTAAAGGCAGAGGTCACTCGAAGATGATCCTACATAGATATTACTATCCGCCTTTTCCTTTCAAGATGGCGGCCGAAAAACTGTTCTATAGACTGTAGCGCCTAAACAAATGTACCTATTTCAATGAAACTTGACTAATGTCTTCTTCTCGATGCCCTTTAAATTTATCTACATAACATACTTAAACGAAAAGAAACTAGATAAAAAGTTACGAGATGTGGTAAAATTATATTTTCGAATAACTCAAAAAGTATAAACTTTTTGTGTGGATATTGTTATGGTTATTTAAAAGTTTACGAACTTTTCTACAAAACAATTGTTAAAATTGAATAATTTGGAACAAAGGTCTATACCTTATCTAGAGACTATTCTCTAGATATTTTTTATATGTTCTACAGCAAAGGTTATAGCCTTTGTTTTGGTTTTTGATTTTTGAAAGTGTTACTGAAGTAATGCTATTTTTTCTAGCAAATTAATAATGATGAAAAAAAAAATGTTTAGGCCAATAATAGGAATCACCTTTTATTTCTTTTTATTTGTTACCAGGAAGGTAATGTTACTTTAGGTGCATAATTGTTTGGAAATAATAAACCATTGTGAAATAACTTGCAGCGTTTTTAACCAGGTGATCAAAAATCTGTAGGAATCAATGTACTCAGATGCAATTAGCCTAATTTTATACTGCATATTTGATTATTAATGCTTATGATTGCATATTTTGATTATTTATAAATTATATTATTAATTATACTAAAATTATATTATTAATTATAAATAATAATGAGTAATGAAATAAAGTGGAACATTGAAAGTGAAAAGGGAACATTGAAAGTGAAAAGGAAGTCCTGCATTTCTTCGTGCCTGTCAATGAGGAGAAAAAATTTCAATTTTATTTTAACAATTTGCGTTCAAGAGAAACTAATTGTATCAACTTATTTTTTAGTACAAGGTATTTACCTTATTACACATTTCGTTATTTTACATGTATATGTTCTAGAAAGGCGTGAATATAACCTAATTTGACCTAAACAACTCGTGTAGATCAAGACATGTATGTCGGATTTTAATATTATTGTCAACACACGGCATACATCGTGAATCTGGGAATAGCGGAAACTTGAAAACAGGCCGCCGTCTTGGAGGAGCCTATTGTTTATTAGTTGTTAATTATTTATTGATTGTAATTTAGTTCTTGATGTAATTGAATAATAATGTATTATAAATATTTATAAAAAATGTTTTTATCTTTAGATAGCTTTTTCGATATACTGATACATTGCGCAGACACAGAATGCTGTCGGTATAGCCATCGGGCCAACTGTTGCGCAAGCGGCGGGAAATGGTATTGTTGCTATAAAACAGGGTAAGTAATAATAAATAGATAAATAATTCCCTAACTGAAGCGACAAAAAACACCATTTTAAAGCTGTTCAGAAATTTCAAATCGATTAGGTTTCTCATATGAGAGATAGTTAACTTAAATATTTCAAAATATTGGAGGACGGGGTAGCCGTGCGGACTAAGGCGCTTGCAATATGTAATCAAAGTTAAGCAACGTTGAGTGTGGTTAGTACTTGGATGGATGACTCCACCAGGAAAAGCTGCGCTGTCAGAGTCCCCTCCTGGTATGTGAGGCCCGCCAGTCTACTGGAGACAACTCTCACAGACCGGGCGCAGGGCAGATGACCTTGTGTATTTAAATCAGGAATTGGAATGTGGTTTGCCAGGATGTCAGTAGCCCTCTGAGGTTTTGTCCGAGGAAAAAAATATTAGTCCTTGATGACTCTGAGCAGCCATAATCCATGGTTCTAGACCGATCTGCCACTGTCCTTAAATTCGAGTAGGTCGGTGAGAAGGAGCCACGGGTGGCCTGCTGCTGCACCATGGATACCATGGTTCGTAGCAACGTGAGGTTGGGTGATCTCCTCCAGGCTATCTGTACCCCCACAAGTAATATACGTCAGTAAGGTGATCATATCTCGCGGTTAACTATAGATCCATAGATCTTCATGGTCTATAGCACCAAAGAAAAAAAAAATTAAAAATAATAATAATAAAATTAAATTATATTCTTACGCCACATAATTTTGTTGTTAAATTAGCCTGAAATAGTTTTTAATCATCATAAGGCTCTGCTTGATAATATCATTGTCTGAAACGTCAAAGAAGAGAATACAAGAAAAAAAAAGATTTAAAAGTAGTTTATTATTAATATTGATTAAGTCCTAAATAACTAAATAAGAATTTTCTAATTTAATTTTAAATAAAAACGCAATAATTACTTACCGAAGAAAAAAATCAATAGTCAACTTCAGATTTAAAATTTTAATATTTACAGCAATAAGAATTTATTTATTTTGTTATTTTTTCATTGAAATTTTTTTACAATTTAATACAAATTCATGTTTAAATTATCAAACAAGAAGGTTAGCTTTAAAAAAATATATACAAATTTGAGTATAGTTAATCAAGAAAATGTCAGAATTTTATGAGAGCACAAGAACGTAAGCTACTGGCAAAAGGCCCGATAATAAGGCTCCAATAGCTGACACCAATTAAATTTCTAACTCCTTCATTAAGAAAATTAAAAAATAGATAGAGCATAATCTAAAAACACCCCAAGAAAAAATAAAATAAAAATTTGAATATAAATCAAAGTAGTTAAAGAGAAAAATACAAAGCTAAGGTATGATGCCCTTAATAGATAATTGTTCCTGGCACGGGCGGATCTAAGGGGGGAGAGGGGCTTTGGGGCTGAAGCCCCCCAAAATGGTAAAATATAACCATGTTTTATTGGAAAAAAATTATCTCTTAAAGTATTATTGTTCGTGTAATTACATTTAAAAGGACTTTAAACATCATTTCATGTAGTTAGTTAGTTTCTTTCTTTTTTTCCATGGTAATTATCGTTATTTTTATGAAAAAAAAGCTTTCGGACTGAAGCCCCCCCCAAAATTAAATCCTGGATCCGCTAGTGGTTCCTGGGACACTAAGTGGAACGTGAGGGACCTTCCTAATTTGCCACTCATTATATCTGTTACTCTCTCCGGCAATACAGACAAATATACGATCACAAAATATAGACATCAAAAGTGTACGAATAGAATGTTATTCTCATTTTTCGAGGAGGATATCAGGTATAGGTACACTGTCAGCTCATGGTGTTTTTACCCTATAACTTTTAAAATATTAAGAATGTTATTGCTTCTTTGATTACCTACTTGTTTATTTTATTCTTTATAGAGTGAAAGTCAAAACGGACCCGTGTTATCCATACAAAACGTAATAGTTATGTTCAATATAATTGGGTCAGTGAGTGCAGGAACCACATCAGTAAAAAAAAATCCGAAAGAAGGTGCTGTATGAAAGGCGAAAGAAAAGAAGCTTAGAAAGGTAAGATGCGTGTTGAGTGCAAGAACCACGTTAGTTTGTTGAGTAATTCCGTAAATACATGGCGTCTTTTTCGATCGTTGAGCGCAGAAATGACATGAGTCAATGACTGACGTGGTTTCTGCACCCACCGCTGGATCGCATGACCAACAGAGATGGGTATATTTATATTCAAAATATGAATACGAATACCACTTATATTTATGGTACTTATGAATATAAATATATATATTTCATAAAAAGATGTATGAATACAGATGATACATATTCACTGCTGTAAATATAAATACTGCCGTATTCACGATAAAGTGAATACTATACTAAGTATTTACACTAGTAAAAGTGAATACTGCTTTGTTAACACTAGTAAAACTGAATACGGCAGTATTGACGTTTATCAAATGAATACGCTTAAATTTACAGAAGTGAGTACAAATATTTCCACACAACCTTCTTAATGAATACAATTATATATTAAAAAATATATATATTTATTTAAAAAAAATATAGTTACTATATTTATTATTTTATTTTTGTAAATAATAATAAATTCTTCGTTTTACAATATGCTATGTTAATTATATTATGCTAATTATCACTCCTAATGTTTGTAAGTAATATAACTTCCCGAGCCTTTGTATTTACACTTATAAAAGTGAATGCGACAGTATTCACATTTATTAAAATGAATAAGCTTAAATTTACAGAAGTGAATGCATATATTTTCACACAAACTTATTAATGAATGCTCTTATTTATTAAAAAAATATATGTTTATTAAAAAAAAAAATATAGATACTATATATAACATTTTATTTTTATATACAGTATAATATTCTTCGTTTTATAGTATGTCATGTTCATTATCACTCGTAGTGTTTGTACGTAATATAAATTCCCAAACCATATTTTTTTATTGGGTCTATCGCCCCATTAAATTGATCAAATTAAATTGTAAATTAAATTAAAATTAATATAAATTGTTGTAAAATAAATTGTTAATTAAAAAATTTAAACTTTTAATGAATGGTTACCTTTTTCCAAGTTTTCAGCTGTCTGTAAAAAATAGTTGAGTGCAGAAACATCATAAGTCCGAATCAAATTTTAAATATTCCTGAGCCTAATTTATGTCTAAATTAGATAATTTTTGCATGATAGCAACATAAATGCATGTTATGACAGAGTAAAAAAAAATTTTCTGCAGTTTTCTCTCTCTCTCCTAAAAAATTTGAAATTTGTGACTGAAGTGGTTTCTGCACTCACCGTTTCAACTATTACATAAAGATTTTATTAATAAAATATTCTTTAATTTCCGAGTCATATGTATTATATTTCATTAAACCAATAGTGCACTAATAACGTTTTTATTATATACTATTCAACAAAAAAAACGCAACGATGGCATGACATAAAGCCGCAAAATGAAAAGTATATTAAAACAAACATTGATAAAATTGAAGCAACTTTTTAATAGTACGGTGTAAATGAAATTTAATTTGCAAGCAAACCAATCAACAAAATAGATAAAATTTATTCGAAAACTAAAGATAAATTGAAATGGAATGAAAACAGCCTTTCTTTATGCATAAATATTACAGTTTCTATGAAAACATACAATTAGAAAAGAAAAGAAAAGAAAAGAAAAGAAAACTTTTTTTACATTATTATAATATACACAAAACTTTTTACTATTCTTGTATAGGCCTTCCCTTAGGAGTAATAGTCTTTAACACTTCCCTGGGTGACTAGCTTTACTGGGAAGCGGGATTTCTGACCTTTAACCATTTTTCTTTCCACACATCTCTGTCCCTAGCTGCTCTCCACCAGAGAGGTCCTGCCAAAAGCCTATTTAGGATATCCATTTGGATCTCTCCATCTCTTCATTTGTCGGCTACTCATCCTTTTCCGGTCAAATGGAGTCTATTCGGTGACTATTTTTCACCACCTATTGTCGTATCGCAGGAGATGTCCAGCCCATTTCCATTTGCCTTTTCCTATTTGCGAGAGTGTGTCTTTGAGTCCTGTTTTTTCTTTTATCTTCTTGCATCTGATTTGATCCATCTTTTTTACTTTCAAAATGATTCTTTCGATGCTATTTTGCCACACCTTGATCTTCCTCTCTTGGGCGTCAACGACCATCTTTGGGAGCCATAGGTCACCACTGGCATAATACATCTATCGAAAACTAGCCTTTTTAGGTCGATACTTATGCTTCCTTTTGTTATGTACTTCAGAGACCAGAACTTGTTCCAACCAAATGCTATTCTTCTCTGGACTTCTTTTGCAACTCTGTCTGAAAAGGAAACTAACTGTCCCAGGTAAACATATTCCTCTACGTATTCCAGGGTGAAGTTGTTCATTTTTATTTCTTCCTTTGAACTATTGGTCATTAGTTTCGTCTTATTGTGGTTTGAGTATAAACCAATTTCTTCACAGGCTCCTAGAAGGTGTTTTAGCATTTCTCGTAATTGTTGGCAGAAAGTACAATGCCATCTACAAAACGTAAGTTGCTTAAAAATCGATCATTCACCTTTATGCCTGTATTTTTCCATCCAAGAGACCAAAAACTCATCTCCACCACCAGAATAAATAACAAGGGAGATAACGGATCCCCCTGCCTAATACTCTTCTCGACACGAAAGATTTGATACCTCTTTTCTGTCATTACATATGCTGAATTATCTTTTTATAACTAGATAATTCTCACGTATTTCTCTTCGATTCCTATTATTCTTAAAGCTTTAAGGACGCCCGTATGTAGGACACTATCGAAGGCTTTTTTAAAAGTTTACTGTTTGTGGTTTACAGTATGAATGTGGTTGACAGTTGAAAAACTTTTTCTAAAACCTGCTTGTTCTTCCTCTATACATTCCATGATTCTTTGCTTTGCCATGGTAGAACAAAGGGAAATCGGTTGATAGCTTTCCATATCCTGTTTATTGCCTCTTTTGTGTAATAGAATTATTTTTGCTGTTTTCCAGTGTTCTGGAATTTCTTCCTTTTCAACAATTAAGTTAAATAGTTCTGTAACTTCCCTAATCAGAATTCCTCCTCCTGTTTTTAAAATTTCGTTGGTAATATCATCCGGCCCAGGACTTTTTTCATGTTTCAAGTTTTTTACAATAACAGCCACATCCTGTTCCATTATTGGTAGGATTTCTTCTTGAACTTCATCTGCCTCTCTATTTATTTTCACTCTCTTCTGATTACATTTATAAAGTTCTCTGAAGTATTCTAGTTGCTATCCTTCTTATATTTTTCGTATCAGTTATAACTCATTTCTTCCTGTTTTCAAGAGCAACCATCCATTGCCTACCTTTGGACCAATTCTTTTTGAATTTTTCTTGTGGAGTTATTGCATAGAAGAAGTTTAGTGACCATATCATTTTTATAATATTCCAGATCTTCTTTTATTCTTTTCCTGATTTCATTTTCCAGAACCGTGAGATCTTTTATTTCCTTTTCAGTAATGTCTTCTCTTTCTTTTATCTTTTTACGAACTCTTAAAACTACCTTACGTATTGATTAAATTATTATTAAAATAACACTGTAACCGTACTAAAATACCTCAAACGCTTTTATACATTAAATATAGTTACAACAAGCGCGTAATTTTTTTATTTCATAACAGAGAAAGTTCACCAATGTTATCAGTATTCTAAGATTATGAAATGTCACCTAATGAATATTTGTAATAAATTTATTTTGTTGATGAATGTATTTTGTTTATTTTTTCCTAAGAATTTTCATTCAAAAGTTGTAGGTCATATGATGAAACCATTCACGATATTTTAAACGTATGTTAATAATTTGATAATAAGTAGTCTGTACCTCGGACTACAAGGAACATGGTAAATGGAGTGTTGACGTAGAAATGGTGTCTATTTAATAAGTACAGATACAAATAAATATTACATTGTTCAAATAGATACCTAACAATCTATCCATTAAAATTTACATATACTAACTCATTGGTTTCTGACTGTTCTACTCAATCGATTTCTGATGTTTATTCAACAGATGAAAAGAGGATGGCCAAGGGATCTATGCAATAAATAATAGTTTGGATTGCTATCAAGGATGCGTTCATATTCACTATATACTATGTATTATATATAAACACACTACAGATGGTGAGGTAGAATAGATCGCTTTTTCGGTAATCAAAAAGGGCGATGGATTTTGATGAATGAAGGAAATTTAAACGATAAAGAATTTCAAGGAGGAGTAACGAATACTAATTTGGATCCTTAGAGTCATTAAAGAACGATAATAAAAAATTTGGGAGGATTTAAAACTCAGATCATTTCAATGTCAACAAGTCAAAATGGGATACAATTTTTTTTATATGTGTTTTTCAGTTGTTCAGTTGTTTATATGTGTTGTTGTTGTTGAACACTGTTCTGCAAAAAAAAAAAAAAAAAAATAATAATAATTTTTCACTATCTTGAGAAATTTTTCTTGATATTTATATTTTCATGTCAGCTGAGTTCGAATCTGAGGTTAAAAAAAAAAATGCATAGTTTTTCTTATTCCATTTATTTATTTTCATGTGAATAATAACAATAATACAACCGGAACGAAATACAACTTGATGCTTAGCCAATGTGTATATTTTTCCCTTTTATTGTGTTCATCTTTTGTCTCCCGTTGCAGTGTCCAACAGTAGCCAGCATAAATATCTCATTACATATACCGCTATACCTCTTCTCCATTTGGGCTAAAAATTGATGAAACCGTTTTCCGTGTTCATCTGAAACTGCTTCCATGTTGAAAGGTGAGAAACCTAAATGAAAATATATGCTGAGGTGCGCACATCACACTACTTTCACTTACCACCTCTTCTTAGCAGAAATAAGTATTTTCAGACAAAGCGAAGCAAAAGTAAAAATTATAGACTCTATATTTATTTATATTTCATTGTGGATATTTTTATTTGTATAAGTACCCTCATATGTACAAATTTTAATATTTATATCGCTATAATCTATACAATTAAATACTTAATAATACCGACAATAGCATTTAAGAAAGCCACATATATATATTTATATAATATTGTCGGAATCCGTATTATATTAATCTGATGATACGTATGGAAGCGTGGTCTAATTACGATATTTTATTTCTCCTTTAGTTAATTACCAAATTCTTTCATATTTTATATTTGACTATTTTTCATATTAGAAATTAATGTGAAATGGTCAATTGTTTCAAATAAAAAAAAATTAAAGGTACTTTAGAGGAAGCTAATATTGAAAATTAGCCCTTTAAGCCCTGTTATAGAACATCAATCAGAATAACAATCACATTTTATATAAAACTGCTTAATTTTCAACTGATATGATGGATTTAATCAAAATCGTTAGAACAGTTTTCGAGATAATCGTAAAAATGTGTTTAGTCCATTATATAAAGTGCCACTTCTGGTTAGCCGATTTTGAGGAAAAAGTTGCTGTAACATCCGTAGCATATAAAAACCTTAAATATGTAATTTCACTTCCGTACGACTTTTCGTTTTTGAGCTAGAATATTAAAACACAGACCAATTTGCGGGATTTGGTTATTTGGGCTCAGGGTACCTCATAACGCGTATTTCCGTTGAAAACTCAGATTCAAAAATTTTCACGATCGCAATACTTACCCTTACTATATATTTCATATATATAGGTAAGTGATAGTAAAAAGGTGAGAGTGAAAAAAATGAATGTCTAATGACATTTTGTATGTAACCCCCTTATATGATAAAAGCAATTCTGTCATTCACAATATATCAAAGCAGACCAAGCTCTTTTTAAAATTTCATTTCATTTGTCTTTGAATTCAGGATCCTTAAATAAAGCACGGATGTGTGGCCTGAAATTTTCTTGAAGCCTGACAGAGATTCTCTGTCTCCGGATTCGTGTCCAGTAAAACTCAAAACATAAAAAAACATTTCCAGTAAAGGGAGGATATTGATGCAAAACAGTGTAATAGATCATTGGACTTCTAATATCTCACTGCGTAATAAGTATGCGTTTCATCTTTCCTTCTTGATAATTTTGAATAAATGACTTTTTAAAATATTTATATACTTCCTCGAGTACTCCTGATCGTGTATTTCGGCGTACTTGTACAGCTTATGGGAGGAGACGCCCATCTAAGTGTAGCGGCGGAGACTCAATCAATATACCTCGACTATTTCCAGATACCCACTTCCATAGCAACTAAATCGCCCGCATCTCCAGCCGTTCCGCTACTGGAGGAACTATATCCAATTTCATCTTGAGCAAGTAAAGTGATTTTGATAATACATAAACTGTAAGTCGAAGTGGAAAGCACATACACTCACACAAAAAAACACATACACACACACACAAATATAAATTAGATTATAAAACAATAAACCATAAAATGTAACTAAAAATATAGCATATAATACATATTATTTATTTAAGTGCTACTTATAAATACAGTAAATACTATTTATATAAAAGTAAGTGTATACTGAATAATATAAAGATTTAAGAGCAGTAAAATATGAAAGTAATTTATTTTTGTAAAATATCAGAATAAAATTATAATTTCTCTAACTTTTGATTATTAATATAGACAATGATCCAACCATCCGATAAGCATACTATAGTAAACAAATCAACTCAAGTTTTGAGATTTGTGGATAACATGGAACTTGTAGGATTGTCCTAATTCTGTGTGAGCAGGGTTCCTGGAGAAGACGAACAAATGCCGAAATAAACGCAAAGCATAAAGAAATAAAATGAAAAAAAAAATTTTATTATTCTGGGACTGTTGTCCCTTTAGAACTAATTATAAATACAGATTGTATGTCTGTGTGGTTACAATTAGATTACATATTTACAATAAGAGTTGACTAAAAATAAAAATACTGAAGAAGAGAAAGAACAAGAAAATTGTACATATATATGAGAAACTAAAATACCTAAATAAATTGAGGTAGTCTCTAGGGGTGCTTAGATATTTCTCTTAAGTATATTTTGCAATCAGTCGGATTGTGAAAGGAGTAGGTGTTTAAAGAGGAGAGATTTGAAAGAGGAAACTGATTGAGCGTGTCGAATATCAGCAGCGATGGAATTCCAGAGAGAGGGGGTTTGTATTGCAAAGGATTTGTCAAACGCAGCAGTTCAGTGAGGAGGAGGATAGAGGTCGGAAGTACGAGATCTAGTAGGACGGGATTGGATGGAGTATTTGAATTGTAAGCTGTGAAAAATATAGGAGGGTCGATGAGCTCTAGTGATTGGGTACAGAAAGGTGGCAAGAAAGCACTGACGGCGATAGGATGGGTAGAGCCATCTCAACTCAGTGTAATACTGGGTAATATGCGTATCCCTTGAGATTCCGAAAACAAATCGTAGTGCGCAATTCATTAGGCGTTTAAATTTGGCCTCGGAATCTCACGAAAGTACACCATACAGCCATAGTCGAAGTGGGGGAAAACAAGGGAGGAAACTAGGAGTTGAAGTAGTTGGAATGTGGAAGGAGATGCCGTAGACGATTGAACTGTTTTATGGTGGAGATAGTGTGACGGAAAATTTGGGAGATGTGTGGTTTCCATGATAGGGTTTGATCAAAAGTAACACCTAGGTTTTTAACGGTGGTGTGGAATAAGATAGGTGAATTGTCATAAAGAAGTCAATGTCGTAAACTTGATCAAATTCGCACGACTCCGCTGGGCAGGCCGTGTTATTAGAACGAACTAGGGAGAGATCCCATTAAAAATTTTGTCGGAGTCAGTGGTATGGTACAAGGGGAGAAGGAGGTCCCAAACTTATTTGGGAGGATTGTGTGACTACTGACTAGAGAAAACTGCTTGGTTAAAGGAAGTGGAAGGCAGTGGCATACATTATAGAGGACTGGCAATCCTTGTTGGGGCTGGTTTTGATTCAAGTGGGTCGTGACGCCAGATAAGAAGAAGAAAAAATATATTTCTCTTTAAGGTGGACAGGAAGACCGCCAGACAGAGGAGGGACATAAGAAAGCAATGGTCAAACCAAGGGATAGAAACCACAGCGTGCACAGCACAAGGTTCATACTAGATGGCACACAAGCTCTAATTGTAAATAGCTTACTCTCAGCAATGAGTTTTTAGGTAGACTTGACAAACATCCCGCTGCTGTAAATTTCCGTATTGCCTAATAGGCCCTAATAGGGTAGAATGAAAATAAAATAAAAAATAATAAAAACTGCTAGGTTCATTAAGCTTCATTATTTTACACACACACACACACACATATATATAGAATAGAATAGAATAGAAAATAATTATATTCTGGGACGAAATCCCTTTAGAATAACAAAAAAGTACAAAATTAAAGTATCATATCTGGCCGAAGTAAAAATAAACATAAAAAGCAAAAATAAAGATAAAAAAAATTAAAGAAAATATTAGTTAAATATACTATGTAAGAAATAAAAAAAAAAATCTATATACAAAATACTTGAAACCGTGCCAAGACACTTAAAACTATGTACAGTGGTAAAATATAAGTATACACTTTTAAACAAATAAAATAAATAAAAAATAAATTACATTCTTCTTAGCAATAAACTCTGTGTTTCTGTAGAAAAAAAAAGGAAAAGAAGACAAACCTGATACTAAGTATTTGAGAGATGAATTAAACGTAAATATATCATTATGTGAATCATTTTGAATAATATGTAAATTTACATAGAAGGTTAGCTACCGGAGGGTTTCTGACTGTTTTTGGGACAGGAGTTGGAATAGGAGGGTTTCAAATGTAGATAGGGAGGGAGAATGCCGAATTTCGATAGGAAGAGAATTTCATAAATTAACAGAGCGAGCAATAAAAGATTTTTGGAACGAGGCAGATCTGTGAGAAGGAATATAAAGGTCGGAAGGTCGAGATCTTGTGAAAAGGGAGTGGACTGAGGACTTGAATTATTGGAGAAGGTTGTAGGCGTAAGAGGGACGATGATTGTTGATTATTTGACAGAGGAACGTACCTAGGAAATATTGTCTTTGAATGGAGGGGAAGAGCCACTTTAACTCAATGTAGCTTTAGCTGAGTATAGTTAGCCACTTTAACTAGGTATAGTGGTGAGACACTTGGGAGCATCTCGGAGAACCAATTACAAATCTTACGCAGCTATATACATATATTAAAGATACTGTTAAATTAAGTAAAGTCAAGTCGTTCTATTACTTGTAGACAGTTGAAGAAGCACGGGTCAGTAAACAAAGCGGACTCCAGTGTGGTCCAGCACCCAGGCGGATCTACTGAGGGGAGGGGGCGCTTTTGGGCTGAAGCCCCTTCCAAAATGGTAAAATGTAACCATGTTTTATGGTAAACAACAATTAAAAAAATATGTCTTAATGTATTATTGCTCGTTTAATT